GTCATGTTGTGATGGTGTCCCGGTCATGTTTTGATGGTGTCCCGGTCGTGTTGTGATGGTGTCCCGGTCATGTTTTGATGGTGTCCCGATCATGTGATGGTGGCGCGGTCATGTTGTGATGGTGTCCCGATCATGTTGTGATTGTGTCCCAGTCATGTTGTGACGGTGTCTCGGTCATGTTTTGATGGTGCCCTGGTCATTTTGTGATGGTGTCCCGGTTATGTGATGATGGTGTCCAAGGAAGAGATGGTCGATGTGTTGAAAACAGCAGCTGTTTCCAGATTTTTCTTTTTGTCCCGGTTTGTATCTTGCTATTGGGGTCTCCAGCTGGGCTAATTCTTTCGCTAGAACTCTTCAAACAATTCTACACAACGATTAAGGATTTCAATCATTTCTTCATATTAAAACAGTTGATCCAACAACTTCAGGAATCTTAAATTTCCTTATAGTCCAACTATTCGTATGCTTCCCACGCAGAGTCTTTCAATAAACTTACAACAAGCAATATACCCTCGATCTCCGCATCGCGTAACCCCCGCCTGCGCAAATAGAAACAACTCAAGGCGGCGACGAAAACTCCGGTAGGTCTTCTAGCTAAGACCATCAGCCGAAAGAGCGGCTTTAGCGAATCCTAAATCTAGACCTCGATAAAATAGTTCAAATACTCGTCCTCCACCATTGGCTTTTAAAAGCGAAAATAAGACGCTTTCAGCTTCTTCTTCCTATTACCTTCTTCTCTATTGGTCTTTTCCGGCCATAATACACCGAATACAATCGTTAAAACGACGTTTATCCTTAACTCAAAGGGGAACCTCAAAGAAGTCCTCAATCAAATAGTGCACCCTTATTCAAAAAGGAACGTGTTAGGCTCCGCTACCAATTTCGATTTAATAATAAAGCCCCCAAGATCTTCCAAGACAATGTCAATAAAAATATGCGATATTTCGAGCGAGTGGCGCGCCCGGAAATAACTCAAGGATCCTACAAATTAAACATATAATAGCCACAAACATCGGCCCAATTCACCTGCATATCTAGTTCATGCCTAAAAAATCAAATCATTGCGTAAGTCAAACAATAGTTAATCAATATATTTTAATTGAATTAAAATGCTATAAAATTCAAACTATATATGAATTTAAAATAATCGGAAGCATTTTTAAAAAATAATCCTTCCTATCGATCCGAATTAATTAAACATTTTCGACAAATTTTAATTTAGAATTATATCGTATCATTCCAAAAAACAACATTTCATACAATTTAAAATAACAACTATATATTAATAACAACATTTCAGAAATTCTAAAATGTATATTTTGGAAAAACTAATTTCCTAAAATTTTAATGAATAGCGAGATAAATACGTCGACGTAAATATAATATTTGAGAGACAAGCGGCTCTCCTGAGGCATCGGAAGTATCCAATTTTTCCCGGACGGAACCTTGGCGCTGGCTCCCACTTGCTCAGACGTACCCTTTTGGGACCGAGACGGCCCTCACACATAATGCAGAAGCGCGGCTTCAAGCCTTTTCTTTAACTCTCTACATACAAACAAGTCTTTGTAAAATCACACCATCCTTCCTTTCATCATGGCTTGACCTCGGGCATGGCTTGACTCGACAAACAATAAGAGGACCGGATAACCCCACATGATAAGTTTTACAAATTTCAAATGTATATAAACATCACTTGGGAGACGGAGTAGTGAGATGAAAAGTCAAGAAGGAAGTGTGAGGAGAGAAGGCGTATGAGGCGGTTATACTCAGACGTGCAGTATAAGTGATGATGTGATGGACGAGGATGAGAAGGAGGGGAGGGAGGAGGTGTGTGTGTGTGTGGTGAGATGGCGTGCGTGTGTGAAACGACCATCAAAGCTATCAAGTGGTCTCATCCCGACCACGGCGGGCAGTGTTAGCAGGATGTGAAGTGGAGTGAGTGAGTGGAGTGAGTGAGTGAGTGAGTGAGTGGAGTAAGTGAGTGGAGTGAGTGAGTGAGTGAGTGAGTGAGCAGCCCCTTCTGCAGTCTCTGAAGACTGCGCCGGCCACTGCGGAGAGAGCCGGGCCCCCAGC